TCTTTTTTCAATTTAAATACCAAATACCTGATAACCCAATTTATTTATCATAATTTCTTTTCTTTTCTATTTTCTCTCAACTAAATACCAAATACTCATAACCTAATTAATTTTCTTTTTTATTTTTTTGGATACTTATAATCATTTTTCTCTCCAAATACTTATACCTAAATTTTCTTTGTTTTTTTAAAAACTTTTTTGAAAAAATGCATGGTAGAAGCCCTTACCAAATTAACATCATTTCAAGTCGATGTACAATTTTACCATCCATATCATATCAAAGTACACTATTATGATTGTTATATACTATTATGATTGTTAACACCTTATTGACAAAATTATCTGTTTTACCAATGCAGATGATCAATAATACCACTTCGCTAAAACAACCATCGATCAGAAACCCCACCTCACCAAAGCAACCACTGATCAGAAACCCCACCATTTTGTTCACAAGCTTCATGTCAAAATATTAATAGTAGATACCGAAATAATAAAAGTTGCAGTCAAAGATCACCTTCTCCAACTAATGAATATTCTCGTAGTCGATCAAGAAGCCTCTATGCAAAAGACAAAAATAACATATATAATTATGATTGAACTATTAACTTACCAATATGTTTAACAAAAATTTTATATATTAATAGAAATCTCTTTCTTAGAAAACACTGTACAAAGTTTGATTAATGAAGTTAATAAATTAAAATTTGATAAATCAAATACATCAAATGATCTACTGACATATACTGACAATGATGATATTAGTGCATTGAGGACAACTGGGTTGTCATGTCTAATGAATAACATGGATCTTTGTAATTACAATGATATTGATGCTAATAATCTTACTGAAACTGGTGAAACTATTAGAGCTCCTTAAGATAATTCAAAAACTACCACTATCATATCTACTGGCCCTAGTAAAAAAATAGGTAAAAAAAAAAAGCTTTTATGATGTCCCTACAAATAATCAAAGGTTTTCTGTTACTCTGGAACCTTCTACCAGATATAATAAAAGATCACATGAATGTTTGGAAGAAATGACACAAGAGCAATATAAGCTCTTCTATGTATGTGAATAATATTATTACTGTTATTATTTTACAATACTAATATTATTGTTATTAATATTTTAAATATCTTTATTATTTTAAATCTATTGAGATTTTGTGTTAAAATACTATCATTTTATTATTATATTTATTTAATAGGATGAAGTAATTAATATATTAAGTGGACTAGATAATACTTTATAGCTTGATCTAAACAAAGATAGTCAGAAATTTTCCATCACGTGTTTAAAAAAACTATGCCAGCAATCAGTACAGCTTTGGAGGGTCATTTTAAATACAAACTTACTGAACTTAAGTACGTCTTCCAACAACTTTACTATCACCGATATGAAAAATATCAGATAGACCAGAATTCAAAGAAATCAAAAGCTAATAAAAAAAGAATAGGAGTAAATAGTAGATGATCTAATATAGGTATTAAGGTTATTAAGTTATTTTTATAGTAATATCAGGTTGCCAATATTAATTATAATTAAATTTTATTATTATAGAAAAAAAAAGCAAATTCGGGTTGTTAATCATATAATTAATACAAACAATAGTAACTTTAGAGAAAATAGAAAAGAAAAGAAATTATGATAAATAAATTGGGTTATCAGGTATTTGGTATTTAAATTGAAAAAAGA